GTCAACTTATGGCCCTCAGAGTTTAATTAGTTACACGGAACTTTAGATCGAATTTTATAGATTCTTCTAAACCAATAATGAAGTTCGTCTTTCACTTGTGTCCAGCTTGGAATTTCTAGATATGGTGAACGTAAACACTTTTGAACTCTTCAATTATACGTTACTCGTATTTGGATTCTTCACAAGTGATTTATGCAAAGATCAACACAATTGCATTCCTTTAAGTTCTGAAATATCCGTGTCTCCTACTCTTTAGTCAAAAAATAGAGATAAGTGACTTATGCGAAGACAAATATAATTACACTCCTTCGAATTGTTAAATTATACAGTTCTCTTATTTTTTGTCCAACACAATATCGGATGATTTGGGTCTTCAGCAGATGATTTGGGTACTTGAGAAGTGACTTAGGCGAAGACAAACATAATTACACTCCTTCGAATTGTTAAATTATACAGTTCTCTCATTTTTTGTTCAACACAATATCGGATGATTTAGGTTTTCAGAAGATGATTTGGGTACTTAAGAAGTAACTTGCGCGAAGACGAACACAATTGCACACCTCTAAACTGTTAAATGCTATATTACCCCGGTATTTTCTGTTCGATAAATGTCAAGATGCTTCAAGTTCTTCGGAAGATACGCGAGCATCTGCTCGTCGAGAGGTAACTGGGGCCTGTTCCTCGCGAGCGTTAATCCTCGATCGCTGAAGATTCCTCCTCTTGTCGACATAACTCACCGCCAAGAGTGTTGTTGCTCGCTGGGGAGAGTGTTCGGGGGGTGTAAGGAGATCATGAAGTTCGCGTACGATAAAGACCACGCCGGATTGCCGACGTACGTTCCTTGGAAATCTTCTTAAAGCTCGTCGACACTCCCCAGGGAGACGTTCTCGAGTCGACGTGGCTTGTCTTTCACCGGTGAACGGATCTCACGTGATCGTGGAATTTACGAAGGGTGTGATGTTACATGGACTTACGAAGCGGGTTGGTTAATACGTGTATCGTGAAGAAAAAAAGAACGAATTAAAATTTCTGTGTCGGTCACCAGTAACGAGGGGTTAACCCTTTGTGGGCAGAATTTTCAGTTTTGAATTTTTTCATGATTTTGCTTAGATAGCTGAAGTGAAGCACACTGAAAAATGATATTTCTTCTGCACAGAATACTTCGACTTTCCCTCCTACTATTATTATTATTCGAATAACTTACATTGATCATGAATGCATAGGATTCAGCTTTTTCTAATCCTGAAACTATAAATAAACTGCGGATGTTTCACGCGTTGAACTGACTGACTAAACAGAAATAGACACCCCTGATATTGATTTGTATAATTAGGGACTGTCCGAACACTCTTTACGACTGAACTTGATAGCTTTGAAAAATTTCACGAGGCTCGTTCCAGCGACTTTGTATTTTCTGTTGGCAGCATTTCAAGACATTCTCACGCTACCATTCGAATTACTGCAGAATTTATTCATCTTAATTATTTAATGCTGCTATGAAGTTTCTAATCCGGACAGCGTAAAACCTTCATCATTGTCAAGTGTCGCATTAAATGATATTTTCCTACGCAGCCATCTGTCGAGATAAGTTTAATGAATTTCACGGAGCCTCCGGCTTCCGATGGAAGCTTTGAAAGTTGAAATTTTACGCTGGCTAATGAGAACGGAAATTCTCATGGAGAACGGAATAAGCAAGAACGTAATTAATTACATACACAAACTGCAACTCCTCGCGTAATCACGCGTGTTAATAACTCAACAGGGAAGCCCTTCTATAAATGCTTGCGTCGGATTAATATTTTTCGATGGGGTTATGGATAACGTTCTGTTTTTTGTAACGCATCGCAAACAAACAGATGAACGTTTTTAAACAAAATCGAATTAAAGCTCTCTTTGATATTCGATGAAATGAATTTCCATCGGAGAATTTGATACCCCCGTACAGGAGGATTGCAAACCGTGAATATAAGTGGAAAACATTTTTGAAGCCACTGCAATTGTTTCTGCATCCTCTAGGTATGACAAAAATTAAAAAAATAAAAAGACACCTCGTGATTCTCTTCCGAAGTTTCGGTTTTCTCCGTTCGTACGTCCGTACGGAAACGAGGTCAGACGATTTTCCTACGTTAGAAGAAACACCTCGGTACTTTTGGGAACGGGCGTGCACTTTAGATAAAAGGTTGCATTTAGTCGCGAACCTAATGCGGTTCGACTTTAACTGTCCCAGGGAACGGGATATTTCGCGTAAAGTTAATACGAAAATACAATGGGAATGCGATTGACAGTGCGAGGGTGTAGGCGATTTAGCAGTTAATCGTTTGCGGATTTGTATAGCGCTGGAGTTGATACACAATACAATAATTGATTACAACGTTTTCTGATACAATCAACAGATAACGAGTTATTTTAAAAAAAAAGGAAGATAAAGATAGTGTCATATTAATTTCTGTATCAGAGATTTAATGTAAGGTATATATACCACGTAGAGAAGCATCTATGTATCATTTTTCACAGCAAACTGGGTTTCGCGCGCAAAAAGATGACGGCCATCTTAGAAACCGTTGAGCCACCGACACTGTTTATAGATTCTCTAACACTTACTTGATTAACTGTATGTTTTGCATACCAAGTTGACAGAATACTTTTTACTGCATTTTATCTTCCCTCTGCCATTTCTCCTAAGAAGACAATCTTTTCCAAAAGAAACATCCTGCACGAGACCACGTATAATAAATAAGAACGTTCGAAGAAATTCTCACGCGTTATTACTCAACGAGTAACACAATTTGCTGTATTTCCTCTCCAGTATCCGGTTCCGTGTAGCAGAAATAAGAAATTCGATTGTGCTCTCTGTCTCGCCGTACTTTTCGGCGTAAGATCGCAGAACCTCTCTCTTTCTCCCCGTTATTTTCCTTGAAACGGTGAAACGCTTTCGAGCGGTTACACTTTCTTGGACACTGTCCAAACAACGAGAAACGACACCGAGGCATACCGGCGCGGTGGCGGCGGCGGTCTGATTGAAATTAAAACCAGCGTGGGATTCTCACCGCCGCTACTTGGAATACGAATTCGAGCTGAACCTGGTTAATAGACGCCGGAACGGCATTCGGCGCTCGATGGAAATTAATTGACGAACCGGACCCACTCAACCGACTTCACCCTCCTCTCGACCGTTTCGCGATTCCGTTGGGATTTCTAGCAGAGGATATAAAATCGTGCCGATTTATCTCTCAGTGATCATCCCGCTCGGGCCATCTCGACCGACATTATGAATCGTAAATATTAAACGGATTACAGGTGTATCGGTTACTCGTCCGATGACGGATACCACCGAGGCACCGCGAGGAACGAGCAGAACGATCGCGAAATTAAATCGAGGACAAAGTGAATATCGATTGGTCTGTGCGCAATGAACCTGATCCTAATAAGGGTTCATCTATTGGATTAGAGTGTTTTTTTTTTAGTCAGATTATTAAACCGCGCGGATCCTTTGGGCGAGAATTAATAACGGCACAGCCTGATGTCGCGTGCTGAACACGGCTCTTTGTACTTGCAACGAATACAAAAAGTATTTGCACGATCGAGCCTCTTCTATTAAATGCACTGAAGGGAACGAAAAATGTGCAGTAATGAGAAACACAGTGCTTGTGTGATATAGCTCACGAAAAAAATGAAGCTTATGAAAATAGAGATTTTTATGAAGTAATTTATGGATAAATCGGGTTAAATAGAATTATATCTATCTTATTAAAGATTGTATCGGGAGTTTTATACAGTCGTGTACGTGGCAAATGCATAAAATCTGCGGTCTAACAATAATATATATATGTTATTAAAAAAATAAATTACATGATGAAATATAGGTAAATGGTTGGATTTTTGCATTATACTACAATAAATTATCTACCGTTCTTTCGAACTATTTTCTTAGCAATGTCAAATCTATCCGTGAAATGATACGGTTTTCCCGATATTTTCCACGAACTCCATACAATATCGTCAGTTCCTATTCTTAGTAAAAAAGCAAAAACCAGAAGCACTAGGAATCATTTGACCGATCGTTTGAATCTCGAACGATCGATATTCGCAACGCTTCTCAAATAAACAAGCGGCGTTGTTTGTCCGTGCCAAACGGGTCGTTCCGACAAACAATCTATATCGGCTCGGTTGAAATATCGATTATAGACCAGCCTATCGATGACAGCGCGTCTCGGTAAAAATTGCTATTCGTTGCTGGTCGATTCGTGGGAATCGAATTACCGACCAACGTGTTACGGAATTATAGCATTGAACAAGAGAGACACATGGCTCATTCGATTCGCATCACTCTTATGACGAGGTGAGTCTCTAAAACTGAACTGCGAATTCTTATGGGTGGTTCAAGACGTGATACTGCAACTTATCAATCAAACGTAGCAGCTTATTCAAAGTCCCCTCCATTTGCATTCACGTGAAAAAAAACAGTCTATACAAAGTGAACCGTGCGTATACAGGGTGTTCCAATAATCGTATCATCGTCCAGAAACTAGATGATTCCTTGTAGAAAACTAAGTCGAAGATGTACAACAAAATTTGATCTTATAGGAAGCCATAGTTCAGAAAATTCAGTTTGAAAATCTTATTCCATATGATTATTTCACATTTGAGTATCTAAAGGTAAGGTTGAATATAATCAGTCCTGCGACTGTACCTTGCCTTTCATGGAGAATCTTCTGCCTGTAGGCTACAAATGTCGTTATTTTAATAAATGAGAAGAATAAATAATAATACTATTAAAACACAATCCTTTGGTTCTCGTTTCTGTAACTTATTCTTATAAAAATGATTTATTAAAATCAAAATTTGTATAAACGTCCACAGTATAGCCTCCTACGAAAAAGGTTTTCTTCGACATTTTTGGCTTATACTCGCGCAGGAATCACCCTCTTCCCTGGTTGTACCGTGATTACTGGGACACCCTAAACAAGATATACGTAATATGATTTGCGATCATGACTCACACATGTGTTCCCCGAGTGGCCACACTTGCGGTCCGGAGTTGACCTCAACGAGAACGGAGGGGGTGCATATCAGAAGGACGAAGAGATCGGCCACGCTCAGATTCACCAGAAAGATGTTCGTGCTGTTTCGCATGTCCTTACCCCGGAACACGACCAACGGTACCTGAAGAACGGGACAAATTGTTTTTGTAACAGTGGTCGACCTTGGTTAGCAGGTCGAAATTTCAAGAGACCGCGTGACCCCGAATTCTCAGTTGTCCTGTTAAGAAATCCGGTACAGATGGCAGAAAATGGTTAAGAATGCTTTTAGAAATGATGAATTCGTAGAAAACTGGGAAGTAAACTTTACAGAAGTGTTTAGAACTTGTATTAGCGATATCGGACCATATACTAGTAGGTTGCCTAATAGACAGTAGATTTTCTATGTTGGTCCCAATATGCTTTGACGATTCTATGTACATACCACATGGTTTTCGTGTAAGGTTATCAGGCATAATACCAGGTTTTTTATGAATTCTATTAATCATCGTTATCTACTTGGAGAAAGTTCAGACCAATAAATATCAGCTATATAAGACTCGCCATAAGGTTTCCTATTATGCCGAGGACCATCACTACTATGCAGACAACCATGGACGTCGTGCGAATGTAAGCAGGCAGCATGTATAGAACATCCGTGGCATTTTCAGACTCGATCACTGAAACAGTAACATTTTTTCGAATGTTAGCACTAAGGTATTTTCCATTCACAATGTTAACATCTATCATTTCTATTTATCCAACTATCCCGGGACAAAACAAAAAATTTACTATATAAAATTAACTACTGGACAGTAACGAATTATTTTTCTTCGACCAAGAACGGAATGATCGCATTTATCTAACATTCTTAGCTTAGAAATAACATACTGCTCCGTATGAACGTCGATTCGAAGTTATTTGGAACCTTGCGTGTCAAGCACGCCGTTATACGAATAATTTTAAGATGATTACTTCGATTATGAATTCCAATAGCTCCGATTAATTTTCCGATAACAGGCAATGTAATTCAATAAATCACCAACAATCTGAAAGCGAATGATATACTATATCTCGACCCCAGAGCACGAGTGCATTAAGTCTATTTAAAAAAAAAAAAAATAACATTTCACATGTTTCCTGTATCAAATATTCTCTTTCCGATGGTAAAAATTATTTCGTTCTAAGTCGTCTAGTTTTTAATACAGGTACATAATACTCTAAAAATTATATTAAGTACATACTTTCGTTTACATTTCTACACATAGAGACTTGTCTTAAATCCATTCAACAGTTCGAAGCTAGCGATTGTTTCCTGCTCAATTCATACCGAACGGTTTCAAAGTTACAAGGTTTACACGCCATTGATTTTTGAAAAGTGTGACTTACGACACTCTGGGCTCTATGGGTCCAGAATATATATATTTCGAGCAATTCACAGCCCAATTAATTTCAAATGTGATTTGTTATTGTTTATTCCCGTGGCGGTTAGCGTACCGGAGAAACTGTCGTTGCTGTCGTTTCCAATGATCGTTGCGTAGTAGGAAGAATTCAATTCGAGCGCGACACTGGACACCGTGGACAACATTTTCGTCCGGTTGGTGGCCAATCAGGAACGTTCACAGTTCGCGTGTATCCCAGCCGTCTCTGTGTGTCGCCCACGATCCTTCGCCTCATCAACAGTCCATCGTCCTGTGTTCACTTTATCCCTCTGGAATTCCACTTTGTGTCCACGATCGCGCAACCAACCAGTCACGTGGTGTTGATTTTCACACACGATCGCGCACCACCGGCGACGAACTTACATATTCACGGATCACGAGCATCGAGTGTATATGTGGGTCGTTAACAACGGACGGTGACCGGTCGCCCCCTTACGTCGGCAGTTTCACGTTCAGCCCAACGACGCGTACCCGCGACGAGATTTTCTGGACAGCGGCGAATTCGTGTACCAGCGGGGAATCGCGATGAAAATCCATCGGGAATCGCGTATCGAAACCCGTGGAACGAACGTTGGACACGGTGGTTTCCTTCTTCGACTCACAGGCGACCGTGGTTATCGTTAACGGCGTGGTGTTCAGTGACATTATAAAGTGCTTCTTGGTGACTGCTGGGCTCTCGCTTCCTCAGGGGTGACACTTCGCCGGGGGTGTTCGTTACACATCCGAACCGGTAATCACTCGTTCCACCCACACACAGATCCCGTGGCCCTCGACCGGAGCACTCGTCAATCTTTTCAAACCAGCCAATTCGAACTTAATCAATCTGCCCCCCTGTCGTCGTGTCGAGCGAATTACAATAGGTTCGTTATCCTCCCCGTGGCGGTTAGTGTTTTTTTTTTGTTTTTGGCGAAGGTTTGAGTTGCTAACGACTCGATTGAAACGATAAGACTACGTTGTACGAAGGTTAGTTGATTACTTCGTAATTTGTGTACTTTATGATTATGATGATTATGGGTCATATATGCATGGTATCCTCACGAGCAAACTCAGCTTCTGCTGGGGGGAAACAAGCGGCGAGAGGAAGAACCTCTTACCATTTCGTCTCGGGAGTTACTGGAATTTATACCGAATTAACATTCAGTTTAACATTTATTTCAGTACTTGAAATAAATTCACCAAGTGGTAGGAGGCTCTATGCTGCTTTACCCTCTAGTGGAAGCAGAGTTTGCTCGTTAGAGGTACAAAAAGTGGTACGAACTGTTTCCCTACCAATCTAATAGACAAATATATCAAGTTTCTAAGGAAATATATCATTTTAGACCGTTCAGCAATTTTAATTACTCTTTTTATATTGATTTTGAATTTATATAGTATTAGAATCAAAATCAATCAAAGAAATCGTATAAGTAGATTCAATTTTATGTGTACTTGAGCAGATTCGCTCCATATTCTACTAAGTAGATAACTATTTATTAGAACACTTCCGACATTTTAAAATAACGTCCGTCAGAATATAGTAGCATCATCCTAGACGATCCTCCGTACACGACAACCTCCCTATACGATCTTTCTGATTGAGATGAACCGCCGTCTATAAATCATTCACTTGTGTTGACTGGAATAGGGTCTCATTCATTGTACCATGCAATCCGTTACACGTCACCAAACACATTCTTATTCAGTAAATGGTACTCGGTGAGAGTGCATTTTAATTTGATGAAAACTAACCATCTACCACTTGACAGTGCATTTTGATTAACCGTTGAAAAAGCATACGATATACATGTAAGATGATAAGTTTCCCTAATTGATCGACCCTTTCTTCCGGCGTTGAAATTTGCAGAAGGCAATGTTCTGTTATTTTATCGGGAACCATGTGTTTACTAATGAAAATCGAAACGTAACCTATATAACGGTAAAAATAGCCGTTCATTCAATTCGCCGGCGAATCGTGTCTTATTACAGCCAGTAGGCCGGGGAATAAATATTTTTATCCTGTCTCCTTTGTACGGCTATCCTGTCTATCACTCATAAACGCCGTATGTGGGTCGCGGCACCTCAAGTATGTATTTACCTTGGCACAGTCGGTTAACACCAATTAACTCCTGTGTTATCGAAATCTATTCGGAACCTAATTCTGCCTCGTTCCCGGCCGATCGTACCCAGCGCGTCAACGAGTTATGAATTGCGCTCATGGAACGACCTGCCCTAACCGCTTTAACTTTACCAATTTTCACTTCTGGAAATAGATCGCCGCGTTTGACTTCCACTTTCGACGAGTGTTGACGCGCGTATTAAATTGCTCGGATGTATACAGTGGAAGTGGGAACATTTGTGGTACATTTCGGTGGGAGTTAATTAATCGGTACAAAGTCTGTCGAAGGAGAGTAAATTTCTTTTGATAGGATTTTATTTCTGAAAAAATGTAATTTGAAAAATAAGTGGACAAGCACGCTCACGTGCATAAGTCATCGGACACTTTCTTCTAGTGTTCTATGTTCTAGGTGGAAATTAAGGAAAATTAAGGAAATTGTGTCAAAAAATTGTAATATTTGTTTCAGTTTTCAGTTTCCTCGAAGCAACAAAGTGCTCGGTGACTTAAAGGCGGGTGCGTATACCCGCGTGTTTACAGTACATAAGTAGAACAAGTGGTAATGGACAGACACGTCAGGCGCATTCTATTCAATAGCACGTGTATCCGATAAATTTTCGAAGTAACTTTTCTCGAAACCAAAAACCACATTTAACAAAAATTATTCTAGACTTTTAATATACTTTTTTTTTCGCGAAGTCTCTTCCGTAAGAGATGACGGGCAAACATTAAAATGAATTATTAAGTTCAGGTAATTGATATAAATCTTAATTTCCGATGGTAATATTATACGTTGAAGCATCCAGATATTGTCTGTCGTGTATGAAAAGGAACAATACAACCCGAATGGAGTCCGAAATTCGTTTTTCGTTTATTAAGCGCCACTGATGGTCCACGCTTCGGGAAAGGTGAACGGGAAGCTTACCTCGAAACGTTATCACTCGTTAATTATACAAAGATAATTAAATACATCATACGACACCTGCACAGTATTCTCCCAATTATTTAACAGAAATAATTCGGTATCAGAAAACATTCCACGATTCTTAACCTTTTTATTATAAAAAGCAAGAGAACTATCAATAGTTTAACCGACATATCAATTAATTCCCTAGCCAAAATACCGTTTGAATCCTACTTCTTTTCAATAGGGAAAACAAATAAAAATATCCGTTTGTATTGAACGCCTCGTGTCGTATACAGAACTTCATTTTACCCTGATCTACCATGGGAACGTTGTAGTAACGCCTACCCTTTCCTATTTGCAGAACGATATCAAAGAAATACCGATTGCGCGTTTCCTTCATTGTGCCCTCGAGTAGTCGCGGGAAAATTTAACGCCGGTCCCCTTTCATTCATATCCCCCGGTGCAGCATTGTTCCGCCAACAATGGCCACAAACTGTGCAGTTTTCGCGACCCGTGAAAAGGAAACCTTCTCTAACATAATCATTCACGATTCTTTTTAGACCAAGTGTCTGGCCTGCTGTCGAAATTTCACAAACACGTCGCGATTAATTGTTCACACTGAAGAGTTTCTACGAACTTTCTTTTAGAGATCACTGAGACGAAAAGAAGTTAGATCGTCCCATCGTAAATGACCCCACTGTTCACATAAACAATTGATTTTGGTCGACGCGTGTAAAATTTTGCAAATTTTGACAGTTACGTGCGACACGTGACCGTTCGAATTGTCCCGGGTTTCCCGGAAGATCGACAACCGCGACGAGCAAATAGTGCCGGTGAACTGAATGAAGATCGCCCGGCCCGCCACGATTCTCGAACGCGCCGTGCGCCCCCAGGTACGCATGCGTGCTCCTTTACTTTTTTCTTTCTTCGATCCCTTTGCACGCGCGCTCTGATAACAACGTTAATTTCGTTTCTGTTACGATGTTAGCCTTGCCCGAAAGGTTACATGTGGTCCTAATTGAAAAACGTAATTTTCACTGTTTGCTTACTTCCTCTTCTTTTTTCTTTTTTCGTTATTTTTTTCTTTTAATGTTAATTTTTGTCATTCGACCGTTGCGGAGGAACGTCGCCATAATAAGCCACTAAAATAGTATGAAAGACTACAAAGTAAAAAATATAAAAATTCGACTATTAGAAAGTAAAGAAAATTGTATTCTGCACCTTTGTGTATGCTACAAATTAATAAAATTCACAGACTGATGATGCATTTGTGTCTAAAGAAATTAGGATATAATTTTCTACAAAGGAAGTTAAATGACTGAATCGGTTTCCCGTTCGTTTTAATTTTAAACAACAAAACCATGCGCAAAATTACTGGAACTGTAAAGAAATGGAAAAACTGTATAGAAAGTTCGTGGAAATATCGTCGATTACTTACGAAGTAGAAATTCCCATTCGCTATTTGTCCATGTCACTTGGTCGACTCAAAGAGAAAAGTCGGATTCATTTTCGTCGCTCTAGTGCTCCACAAAGATTGTTTCCATATTCCGGATGCGACACGGGACCGGGTACCGGATAGAAAAGAGTGTATTTTATTCACGATGTTTATGTGCATACACCGACTGCCGCGTGGGCACAATTGAAAAAGTTTCGTCGAATTATACGGAAATGGCGGAAAAGATTGGACGTTGAAAGTTTGACTCTAGGCAGAGCTTTGATAAATCCCTAATGCAATGGGGTGGGTGGAGAAAAAGAGCGGATTTTGTTTAAAATTTCAATCATTCTTATCTCCGTAGAGGAAATAACCGTTTCTCGACAATTTACAGTTTCATTCTGTCTTATCGATAGGCCTCTATACGAAGCCATTCTTTTCATCGTTTTAATCGAATTTCGAGAACCAACTAGGCTGCTATACACTTACGTAAATATAGATTTCTAATGGATTAATTTATAGAAATCAGAACCAAACGGAATAAATGTGTAAAATTCATAGTCTAGTAATTAGTAGATTTCTACAGCTTAAATGTCCTTGACGTAATCAAGAATGTTTACAATTCTCCCACTCCTACGCGGCGAATGTGAACAGTATCGGCAATCGGTTAAAATTCGCAGCGTGAGAAAGACGAATCCTGTAGCCTCGATCCTCC